GGATGGCACATGCTGCCGGAAGCCACTGTGCCAAAGGAATCAAAAGATTTCCAGAAGAACAACCTCTTTGCTCTGTTGGAATGAAAGCAACAGCATCCGGTGGCACTTTAGAGACTCGCATTTATTTATTTGGATGTGCCAAGAAAGGGAGAGGTTCCATGAAATAGTGCATGGCAATATAAAATGTATTTGTTTTCACAGTGCCACAGAGCCCCTTCTCCTTTAAGGTCAGGGGAGGCCAGCATAAAACTCTCAATCTGTCTTTGCAGCCTTTGGGTCACTCCCGGAGACATCCCCTCCTACCACCCCAGGAACAAATGCTTGGCCCAGAAACTATAATATAAGAAAATATAAATTAAACCAGTTTAAAATGTTGAAAACCTTCTATTCCTCTCTCTCCCTCTTTCTTTCTCCTTCTGTGTGTCTGTCTGTCCGTGAACAATGTGAAAACTGTGGACACCCCTTTGTACATCCGACCCAGGGAGGGGCTCTCGCCAGGCGCAAGAGGATGTGTTTCAACAGAATTATTGCTCTCCAAGATGCTTTGCTCTTTTCTGCGAAACCTGGAGAAGACGGACACCGGTAAAGGGGATTCTAGCAGCAACAGGAGAAGATTTCCTGGGCTTAAATAGCGAGGAAGTAGGTTTGGGCTAAACCTTAGAAGAAACGTCTTGACTGTAGGATCAGAGGGTAAAAATGGAACCAGTGAACCAGCCAGGAATGTAAATCATGGGATCGCTCTTTCTCTACTTCTCTCCCTAGTAGTAGCTGCTACCCCGGCAGGGCTTGATCCTGCCAACGCTGGGCTTTTCCCAGGACCAAACTGGCCCCAATCCTGCAGCTCACCAGGGGAAGCCCTGCCGCCACTCAGATGCTGACCCTCTTCTTATTTCTGCCCCTCCACCTTCTTTAGACCAGGAGGTGGGATCAACCAGCAAAGAAGTCATAGCTCTTGCTCCACCGTATAATTTCAGATAGTGGTGCTTAAATTCTATTTATTTAAAATATTTTTTACCCGCCCTTTCTCCTTTAAAAGGACCCAAGGCAGCGTACAGCATTAAAAGACAATATTTAAAGATAAAAACAATACATATACAAATATTAAACAGGAACAAATGTCATTCTGAGAAATGGCAAACCCTTTCTAAGTCCTTTTTTTTAAAGCTTCACCTAGTTGACCAAATTTTTGCATCTCTGTTCCTAGAAGTATAATGCAAAGAGAGAGCTTACATGGATTAGAGCAGCATTTGAGTAAATAACTCTTCCCCCCACCCCCCGATGAACATTCCCAGGACCTTTCAGCCAAGATGACCAATGATTCTGGTGCTTATTATCCAGAAAACCCAAAAGCTTCCAATTCTTTGTGCTAGAAGATATGCTTCTGATGATATCTAGACAAGTTACTGAACGTCCATGTATTACATTATTTTGAATTTTGGTTACATTCCTCTAGCTGCACAGCACAAGTACTGTACACGGATTCAAAGAGCAGAATAGTTTCAAGTTCCCAAGAGTGGTCTCTTTTTGTTACTGAACGTCCATGTATTACATTATTTCGAATTTCGGTTACATTCCTCTACTGTACACGGATTCAAAGAGCAGAATAGTTTCAAGTTCCCAAGAGTGGTCTCTTTTTTTCATCAACTGGAACTTACAGTCTCAATAACTTCCTCTGAACCATCTGTAAGAACAAAGAATAAAATATTTCATTACTTACACGTGAACAGTTCAAACAGCAAACTGACAAACATGAGTGACTTTCAGCAACAGCTTTCAATGGACTCTAGAGAAACTTACAGTCTCAATAACTTCCTCTGAACCATCTGTAAGAACAAAGAATAAAATATTTCATTACTTACACGTGAACAGTTCAAACAGCAAACTGACAAACATGAGTGCCTTTCAGCAACAGCTTTCAATAGACTCTAGAGAGGGGGAAAGCACTGAGCAGAGGGGCGGGGCTCTCTTCGAATAGAACCATTGGTTAGTGCTGAATAGATTGACAGTCCATGAAGGTCCCTCCTAGTCAAGCCTACTAAAAGCAGCATACGAGGTTGCAAAAACTGCAACACCATGATACGTTTCTCTTCCCCTCCCTATATTTCTCATCAGCTGGTCTGGTGAAAAGTTCTAGCCAGCTTGACAGTTTGTGCACCGTTACAGAATTGTAGCCGATCCTGGGAAATCAAGGGTCTCCTGTAGAACATCAGCTGCACCGATTTACACACAGTGTTGACAAGTGTTGCACTGGGGAGGCCCAAGGTTGGAGACCACGGCTGTAGAATATCAGCCGCACCGATTTTCACACAGTGTTGACAAGTGTTGCACTGATGAAAACGTCTTGACTTCAACTTTGAAAAAGGCACAACTCAACCAATAACTCGCCCCACCTCTCAAGTCACCTGCCTTACGATTATGTAACTGTAAATACATTCCCAGATTGTCAAAACCTCGGTCTACGAGGCTGTTTCAGGAAGTGTGAAATGACTCACCATTCCATAAATACAAGCTACCATGAGGACGAAGGAAGAGAAGGCTCTCCTTGAACAACTTCGGCCTCGTCCTTGGGTCCACGAGTGCACTAGCACAAGGACGGCCTCGAAGCAAGAGGGGCAATATCTCTGGACAAAGTGGAAAAACAAACTTATTCATGTGATTTCATGATGGGGACTGGGTGGAGCAATAACGCCACTGATCCTTTGAGTTCCATCCAGCATTCATGTGCTTAAAAAAAGGTTTTAACTAAAGACCACCTTCCCCCAGGCTGTTTAAATGATGGAAAATGAGAAGGTTTTGCTGCTGGCACCCTTAGAGAATGCAGGTGAGGACCGGGTGAGGAAAGCTGAGGACTGTTCCTGGATACCCCAATCTCTCCAGTACAAGGAGAGATTGCTCAGACTAAGATCATTTTGTGGGAAATATATGTTACCCTCACAGCTGCCCCATAAGCTTTTTTTTTTTTTTGCACAGATGTAGGGCAAAATAAAACACTTGCTTCCTCATTGGATTCCAGAATCCATCTTTTTCATTCTTATCTCTTCACTGCCAGGATGGAGTTTCTGAGTGTGAAGGAATGCCTGTATTCTCTCTGGCCTGTTTTCCCTCCCTCTTTTCCTCTTCTCTTGGTGATGCAAATCCTTCCAACTGCTGACTTGTGCACAATTGCTAGGCATGTCCAGTGCATGCAGAAGTAAAATCCGCCTGCCGACATAGAACATCCCCCAAAATAAATGTTGAGTAGCCCCACCACCACCAGATTGTAATCATTTGCATTATCCCCTCTTTAGAGGATTTGAGTTTTCATAGAGATCCATAAATGCACAAGGAATGTCATTGATCCAGATGAGGATCAAGAGGGTTCAGGATGGGTTGGCCCCAAAAGGTGCAGGATGGGTTGGCCCCAATCTGTCTGTCTGTCTGTCTGTCTGTCAAATATTTTTTCCCACCTTTCTCCTTAGGAAGGGCCCATGGTGGCTTACAAAAATATTTAAAGCTTTAAAAAAATCCTTAGGAAGGGCCCATGGTGGCTTACAACAATATTTAAAGCTTTTTTTAAAAAAAAGTATACAAATTATGAAAAAGGAACAAACAAATACCACTCTGAAAAAATGGGAAACCAAAGCAGTACTAAAGACACATTCAAAGCAGTAAAGCATAACAATACATTTTAAAAAATGAAATTAAAAAACCCACTTGGTCAAACCAGTCATTAAAGGAAAGCCTGCCTGAAGAGAGGGGTCTTCGCCTGCTTGAGGAAGGGCAGCCAAGATGGGGGCAGCTTGGCTTCCAGTGGGAGGGAGTTCCACAGTCTGGGAGCAGAGAAGGCACAGGTCAGGTTAAAAAGGCTGTGAACACTTGTCGTCATCTCAAACAATAAACAAATATGTCCTTCAACTGCAGTTTTCACAGATCAAAGGGGACTCCATTAGCAAGTAAGTAATCATCTTAAGGCTTGGTTGGTTCATTTACCAATTAAACTAATGGATGAGACGCTGCAATGACACCGACTCTAAATTGTTTTTGTGTTCTACCTGATTTCTAACTTTCTATTCTGAATGTGCTGCTGGCTTTATAAAAATGATTGCTTCCCATCCTTTATTGTATTTTTTTTTGGTAGGTTTTTCAAGTTGTCTTCTATTTTTTTTGGGGGGGGGAGGATTTATCTCACACTTATTATTAAACATAAATTCTTAAAAGTGTTTCTGAATCTTTACCGCAAGGCAGGGAAAATAAATGTACATAGAACTTAGTTAAGTGCCTTCTGCCAAGCAACCTGGCAGGGGAAAATTGATTCATTTGAAATGCGTTGCTGGAGGAGAGCTTTGCTTATACGCTGGACTGCCAGAAAGACAAACCAGTGGAATTTTCAGCATGAATACATTACTGAAACAGCGATGTCTACGTTGGCTTGGGCACATCGTGAGAATGGCTGATGGTCGGATTCCAAAGGATCTCCTCTATGGAGAATTAGTGCAGGGAAATCGCCCCAGAGGGAGACCACAGCTGCGATACTAGGACATCTGCAAGCGGGATCTGAAGGCCTTAGGAATAGACCTCAACAAATGGGAAACCCTGACATCTGACCGTTCAGCCTGGAGGCAGGCTAGAACAGGCCCTGCTTCTGGAGATCTGCTCAAAACTTAATGTTTTCTTGGCAAACTCATTCTGAGTCTCACGCCGCCATCCTGCAAACCCCATCTTACATTTCTGCCTGTGTCTCTGAGCAAAAGAGAGCATACCCCAGAGGTGCACTTAAGGCACATCATTTATTAATCGATGGGAAATCTTCCCTCATTGCCTTGCCTTGCAGAAGCTTAAGGCATCTTGCTGGGGCCGTCAGAGCTTATTAAAAAGCCAGCATCAAATGGCCGAAGGCAGAAGAGCCAAAAAGACCCCTAAATAGTCTGTAGCTCGCTACGTGAGAAACCCAAAGGGGAGTAGAGGTGCTTTGTTTATTGACTGACTGATTTAAAATATTTTATCCCACTGTTATTTTCCTTAAAAAGAATTTTAGGCAGTTGCATCATTTAAAAAAACATTTAAAAGCTAAAAACTTTAAATATACAAATCTTTTAAAAATTTAAACAAATATTATATTTTTTAAGTGGTAAATACAATGCGGTAATTAAAAAACACATTTTAAAAGCAACAAGGCACAACCATCCATTAAAACAAACCCCACTCAGGCAGCCAGTCCCTGAGGGAAAGCTTGCCTGAAGACAACGGTCTTTGCCTGCTTGCAGAAGGACAGCCAAGATGGGGCCAGGCTGGCCTCCAGTGGGAGGGAGTTCCAAAGTCTGGGAGGAAAGGCAGAGAACGCTCTCTACTGTGTCCCCACCAAATGCACCTGTGAGGGTGGTGGGACTGAGAGAAAGGCCTCCCCTGATGATCTTAACACCTGAGCCGGCTCATGATGGGAGATGCTGTCGGTTGGCCCCAAAAGGTGCAGGATGGGTTGGCCCCAATCTGTCTGTCTGTCTGTCTGTCTGTCAAATATTTTTTCCCACCTTTCTCCTTAGGAAGGGCCCATGGTGGCTTACAAAAATATTTAAAGCTTTAAAAAAAAGTATACAAATATGAAAAAGGAACAAACAAATACCACTCTGAAAAAATGGGAAACGCAAGCAGTACTAAAGACACATTCAAGACAGTAAAGCATAACAATACATTTTTTTAAAATGAAATTAAAAAACCCATTTGGTCAAACCAGTCATTAAAGGAAAGCCTGCCTGAAGAGAGGGGTCTTCGCCTGCTTGAGGAAGGACAGCCAAGATGGGGCCAGCTTGGCTTCCAGTGGGAGGGAGTTCCACAGTCTGGGAGCAGAGAAGGCACAGGTCAGGTTAAAAAGGCTGTGAACACTTGTCGTCATCTCAAATAATAAACAAATATGTCCTTCAACTGTAGTTTTCACAGATCAAAGGGGACCCCATTAGCAAGTAAGTAATCATCTTAAGGCTTGGTTGGTTCATTTACCAATTAAACTAATGGATGAGACGCTGCAATGACACCGACTCTAAATTGTTTTTGTGTTCTACCTGATTTCTAACTTTCTATTCTGAATGTGCTGCTGGCTTTATAAAAATGATTGCTTCCCATCCTTTATTGTATTTTTTTTTGGTAGGTTTTTCAAGTTGTCTTCTATTTTTTGGGGGGGGGGGGAAGGATTTATCTCACACTTATTATTAAACATAAATTCTTAAAAGTGTTTCTGAATCTTTACCGCAAGGCAGGGAAAATAAATGTACATAGAACTTAGTTAAGTGCCTTCTGCCAAGCAACCTGGCGAGGGGAAAATTGATTCATTTGAAATGCGTTGCTGGAGGAGAGCTTTGCAGATACCTCGGACTGCCAGAAAGACAAACCAGTGGGTCCTCGATCAAATCAAGCCTGAACTCTCTCTGGAGGCAAAAATGTTGAAGCTGAGGCTGTCATACTTTGGGCACGTCCTAAGAAGGGAGGAGTGTCTGGAAGAAAGGATAATGCAGGGAAAGGTAGAAGGGAGCAGGAAAAGAGGAACGCCGAATACACGATGGACTGACTAACTAAAGGAAGCCACAGGGTTGAGTTTACAAGAGCTGAGCAGCCCAATTGAGAACATGACATTTTGGAGACCACTCATTCAGAGTCCCCATAAACAGAGGCGATTAGATGGCACACCACAAGAACGACAATGACAGCCAGGTCCACCTAGCTCAATACTGTCCACTCAAGCTGGTAGCAACTTCCTGGAATATTGAGCAGAGATTTCCCCCCACAACTTCCCTCACCCCTCCAGCAACAATGCAAAGCCCCAACTGGAGATGCTGATGGTGCACCTGGCCCTTGTCACCTGTAACCCTAAAGGAAGAAGGGAAATAGAATGTGAAACAGATCACGGCTCTTATGGACTTTCCTGAGTATTTGAGGTTGTATTTCAGAGACAGGCAACTCCTTCGGGGTCCCACCCTGGAACGTCTTGTGGGGCAGTACAGGAAGGGCCCACAAGACAGAGGGTGGCTGTAGAGCATCTAAGACCTACACCGAAGCAAAGAGGAATCGCTGCAGCTCGAACGCTTCCGTCCCAGGTGATGTCGTGAGGCGGCTGCGGCTGGCGAAGTGAGACGTTGGTGTGTCCACTGAAGTTGGTGGGACTGAAAGCGGAGAAGCCAACAGGAGGGAGAGCCAGAACAAGTGGTTTTCCATTCTGAGCTTTGCAGAGCTGTCCCGGGTGCTGAACCCTGTTTTGTAGAGAAGGTTCAGCACCTAGGAGAGCTCCTGTAAAGTTCAGACTGAAACCCCGAGCAGATTCACCACCTCCTGCGAAATTGCAGCCTGCTCCAAAATTTATTTATTTAATCCTTTATTGTATTTTTTTTGGTAGGTTTTTCAAGTTGTCTTCTATTTTTTTTGGGGGGGGGAGGATTTATCTCACACTTATTATTAAACATAAACTCTTAAAAGTGTTTCTGAATCTTTATCGCAAGGCAGGGAAAATACAGAACATAGAACTTAGTTAAGTGCCTTCTGCCAAGCAACCTGGCAGGGGAAAATTGATTCATTTGAAATGCGTTGCTGGAGGAGAGCTTTGCTTATACGCTGGACTGCCAGAAAGACAAACCAGTGGAATTTTCAGCATGAATACATTACTGAAACAGCGATGTCTACGTTGGCTTGGGCACATCGTGAGAATGGCTGATGGTCGGATTCCAAAGGATCTCCTCTATGGAGAATTAGTGCAGGGAAATCGCCCCAGAGGGAGACCACAGCTGCGATACTAGGACATCTGCAAGCGGGATCTGAAGGCCTTAGGAATAGACCTCAACAAATGGGAAACCCTGACATCTGACCGTTCAGCCTGGAGGCAGGCTAGAACAGGCCCTGCTTCTGGAGATCTGCTCAAAACTTAATGTTTTCTTGGCAAACTCATTCTGAGTCTCACGCCGCCATCCTGCAAACCCCATCTTACATTTCTGCCTGTGTCTCTGAGCAAAAGAGAGCATACCCCAGAGGTGCACTTAAGGCACATCATTTATTAATCGATGGGAAATCTTCCCTCATTGCCTTGCCTTGCAGAAGCTTAAGGCATCTTGCTGGGGCCGTCAGAGCTTATTAAAAAGCCAGCATCAAATGGCCGAAGGCAGAAGAGCCAAAAAGACCCCTAAATAGTCTGTAGCTCGCTACGTGAGAAACCCAAAGGGGAGTAGAGGTGCTTTGTTTATTGACTGACTGATTTAAAATATTTTATCCCACTGTTATTTTCCTTAAAAAGAATTTTAGGCAGTTGCATCATTTAAAAAAACATTTAAAAGCTAAAAACTTTAAATATACAAATCTTTTAAAAATTTAAACAAATATTATATTTTTTAAGTGGTAAATAAAATGCAGCAATTAAAAAACACATTTTAAAAAGCAACAAGGCACAACCATCCATTAAAAAAAAACCCCACTCAGGCAGCGAGTCCCTGAGGGAAAGTCTGCCTGAAGACAAAGGTCTTTGCCTGCTTGCAGAAGGACAGTCAAGATGGGGCCAGGCTGGCCTCCAGTGGGAGGGAGTTCCAAAGTCTGGGAGCAAAGGCAGAGAAGGCCTGTGGGAGGGAGTTCCAAAGTCTGGGAGGAAAGGCAGAGAACGCTCTCTACTGTGTCCCCACCAAATGCACCTGTGAGGGTGGTGGGACTAAGAGAAAGGCCTCCTCTGATGATCTTAACACCTGAGCTGGCTCATGATGGGAGATGCGGTCCTTGAGATATCTTGGACCCCAGCTGTTAAGGACTTATTGTCCTCTGGGTTGCTTCCTGCATTCTCCGCTGATGCGAAAACCTTCCAATCTTGGTGCAAGATGAGAAGCAGCTGTCAAGAAAACCAAGGAACTGGTTACAGAAAGAAACCAGGAGTTCTGCCTTTTATAGCCAAGCAGACCCGACTCTCCAAACCAGCCTCGGATGGAAGCAGGCGACCTTCCCAGAAGGATTTCAGATTCAGGCGGCAGTCCAGCCGGCTTCTGTATTTGGAGCCAGGAGTGGGAAGATCTTGGCCTCAGGCGGCAAAAAGCCTTGGGCTCTTCCTCCCCTGATCTACCCCACGGGGGGGGGCGGCGGCCCGTCTTTTCCTTGCGCCCAAAGGAAAACCAGGAGAAACCCGCACCCCCTCCGCGCGCTGCTGCTCCTCTGGGGGAACTCGCTTCTCCGGCTTCCCGGTGTGTGTGTGTGGGGGGGGACTGGGCTGCCTTCCGGGCGAGGCGAGGCCAGCGCCCGCATTTTTTCTTATTCTTTACTTACCTCGGAGCAGGGCATCGCCTTCCTTTGCACGGCTGGAAAGAGGAGAGTGAGAAAAAGAGGCGAACCTCTTTGGAAACTCCGGGAGCTGCAAAAGTCACCCACCCTCGGCCGCTGGCTCCTCCCTCCGCCGAGCTGAGAAAGGCTACTTATTCGGACTACAAAGCCCATGATCCCAGGATGCGGGGAGTTTCGGCAGCTCACCAACCCAGCCCTGCTTTCTTCCTCCTTTTCCTCTGCCGCTCTGCCTCTCCGCTGTCAAGCGCAGCCGCCTCCCCAGCAGGCTGGCGGGCTCCCTGCCTCCTCTCCCTCCTCCTCCTCCTCCTCTCCCCCGTTCTCACGTGCTTGACCTCCCCGGCTCAGCCAGCCCGGGTGGATTGCTCGCTCGCACACTCGCTTGCAGGCTCGCTCGCGCGCTCTCCCCTCTGCCGCAGCTC